GCAGCAGCTGTAACTGAGGATGAAGAAGATGAAGATGTAGCAGCTGTAACTGAGGACGAAGAAGATAAAGAGGCAGCAGTTGTAACTGAGGATGAAGAGGCAGCAGCTGTAACTCAAGAGGAAGAGTCCAGAGCTGAAGTTGCAATTGTGGAGGAAGAAGCAGCAGATGTAACTGAGGATGAAGAAGATGAAGAGGCAGCAGCTGTAACTGAGGACGAAGAAGATGAAGAGGCATCAGCTGTAAATGAGGATCAAGGGGCAGCTGCAACAAATGTGGAGGTGGAGGTCATTGAAAATTCTGTAGAGGAAGAGTTAAATCCAGAAAGTGAAGAAGAAGAGGTTGCTGCAGTGGCAGAGGATGAAGGATATATAATACAGGAGCAGGAAGAGGAAGCTGGAGAGGAGGAGGATGAGCAGTATGTCTCCCAAGATCATGATGCAGAGGAAGAAGATCCTGAAGAAGATGATCAAAGAGACACAGCTTCTGTAGATGTCTCTCCTACAGAGAAGGAGAACGCTGAGACAACAGAGCAGGATTCTGACGGGTCAGAGAAGGAAGGAGCGGACACGATCCCCACTACAGAGGAGAACAAGAAACTGAATGAAGAGGAAGTCCAGGATTCATCAGATGAGGATGAAGAACCAGAAGAGGAGGCAAAAGAGGAGGCAAATGTTCAAACAGAAGATATGATGGAATCAGATGACGAGGAGGAGGGGAGAGATGAAGACAAGCAGGATGGAGCTGATGAAGAGGAGGCAGAGAAAGAAGAGATATATGAAGGCGATGATTCACTTTCAAACAACTGAGTCAAATGTAAGTTAATGTTTTGGTTCATCTTTAACTGCCAAAATACAAAGTATAAAGATACAGATTATAAGAGGATAATCACTGATCACATATAAAACCAGTTCACTTCTCCCAATTCCAAATGGACACCACAACTAACTGACTTTAGCAAATACATAAATGTCTATAACTCAGTCAGATTTAGCTAAAATGTGATAAGGTAGTAGCTGAGGGTCATTCACAACACACACTCTGAGCATGAGATCTGGCAATATTAAATGAGATTGAACATGATATGTTCAAGGTACAAAAATAACTAGCATGAACAACCATGAGTGATTCACATCCATTCAATAAATGGGCATTTATTTAACAGTTTATTTACTTTGTCTAATTATAAAATCTAATATGCTTACAGAGTACATTTCTTTTTAGCTGATTGGTCATATCTTTCTCTTCTGTTGCCCTTTGCTTTACAGGGTGCGCATCAACACCTGGAGATTTATTTTCTGTGCTGGAAGTGTCCATCAAGAGGACTGGGAACTGTTTCAGACTGATGACTACATGAAGGTGCTGTGGTTTGCAGTTGCTTTAGACACAGAAATCCTGAAATGCAGACCTGATCAGAAGAATGACGTTGTTACGATGGAGGATAAGTCAAACAGGCACCGTACAGCATCAGGTGGCTGTTGAGATCGATTCAGGTTTTAGAAAGAGACTTTTTGTTCTTTGTAGTTCCAACTTTTGTCCAAGGCCAGACTGGAAACCTGTACAGTGATATGATACAAAGACAATGCACAAACTATCAGTGAACCCACAAACATACGTACTGTATGTTTAACCTGCCACGATGAGATTAAAGTGTTTTCCCACAGCCTAAAATACATCATGAAGCAAAAAAAAAAATCAATGATGATAATAATCCCAGATGTTTACACAGACTGAACGGACAAATATAGAGTTAGCAAAAAAGAAGACATTAAGTAAGGTAATTACAAAAATAATGTTTTTAATTGTGACATTTTGTATTTGTAAAAATTAAAATTTGAAGTTGACTGTTGAGAATTGTAGTTTTTTATTATAATCATAGTCTTTTTTTCCCCCCCTAGTTTTCAGGTACATCTAAAGAAAATTGAATATTGTGAAAAATGTCTATTTTTTAAAATCATTTCAGAAAGTGAAGCTCATATATTTTATATAAATTCCTTACACAGAGAGTGAAATATTTCAAAACTTTATTTATAGTCATTTTGATAATTATGGCTACACATAATGAAAAAAACAAATTCAGTGTTTCAGAAAATTAGAATATCACTGCCAGCTGTTGGTACATTTGTCAGTGGGAGCAGGAGCCAAGTCCTGCTGGAAACTGAAATCAGCATCTCATCTTAAAGCTCGTCAGCAGAAACCCTCAACAGGAGGGTTAGCCTGTCAGATGTGGTGAACAAGGTACAAGTGTTGTTTTTGTTGATGATGTCAGAAAAGAAGGATCCCCTTGCATTCTTCAGTTATAAGTTATATCTGTGAAGTGTCTCTAGATGTCACAGTGAACCTGCAGTCCAGTCTCTTTCTATGTCCATTGGATTTTTGACACTCACTTTTTTCAATTCTTACAAGTGGAGCATTTATCTACCTTCTTACCAAAGACGAAACCTTAGTGGGAACACTGGAATCAAAGATTTCTGATATTTTGAATGGAAGTTATCTACTAGTCTGTTTACTGAGTTACAGGACAAGATAGAGGTGGAAGTGTAAAACTGGTTAAAAGTTTCAACTGAACTGTCCTTAAAAAGCTTTTTCTTATAGTTCTTTGTCTAACTGAATAAATAGAAAGTGTGCTTTCAAAGATAACAGAAAAATGGTCAGATTTTTCTGTAACATCAGTTACAGAGACCTTGAAAATATTTAGACCATTACAGATGATCAGATCCAAAGTATGTCGCTGTTTGTGTGTTGTCTGTTTAATATATTGAGTCAAATCAAAATTATTAAGTGTATCACAGTTCAGAACACAGGAAGGAAGCATGACGTCTCTAAAAAGTCCTGCTAGATGCTGCGTTGACTGTGGACTTTAGAAAACCCAGTAGACAAATACCAGCATAGGACATGGAGCTAAACCATCACTGACTGTGGAAACTTCATCAAGCGACATGGATTCTGGACCTCTCCACTCTTCCTCCAGACTCTGGGACCTTGATTTACAATTGATATGAAAATTTACTTTCATCTGAAAAGAGGACATTGGACCACTGAGCAACAGTCCAGTTCTTTGTCTCCTCAGCAGGTAAGATGCTTCTGATGTCGTCTCTGATTCAGGAGTGGCTCGACTTGAGGAATGAGACATTTGTAGCTCATGTCCAGGAGTTAATCAGCTGATTAGGGTGTGACACCAGGAGTTAAAAAATATTGAAGTTCTTCACAATATTTTAATTTTCTGAAACACTGAATTTCGGGGGTGGGTTCATTATTTGTAAATCACAATCATCACAATTACAAGAAATAAAGTCTTGAAATATTTTTGAATCTATATACGAGTTTCACTTTCGGAAATAAATGACAAAAAAAATTAAACTTTTTCACGATATTCTAATATTTTTGAGATGCGCATGTATCACTGGCTCAACCAGACTGAATGTTCCCAAATGTGTAATTTTACTGTCAGTCAGTTGATGGATTAACTTCAGACGATTTTTTTAATTTATTTTTTGCAACCTTTAAATAGCAAACAGCTCAGGGACAAATATTGTTGTGTTGCTACATTACAACCCCTCAGTCCCACCTGAAGAGGTCACAGCAAAGGTCACTATCTAAAACACAACATTTAAAACAAACTGTCACAAAATGAAATGTCAGTGCAAATCAGCAACACAATATGTGCCATACTTTTACTCCATCACTACGCTGGGTGTTATTGTAGCCTCAAGTTAATGCATACAAGAATCAAAATGAAGAAACCTGCTGGAGGTTTCTCCCTGTTAAAAAGGAGTTGTTTCTTTCCACTGTTACCAATGTGCTGCTCAGAATGGGGAATAGAAAAGAAGTGAAGATTTGATACAATCTTCTGGCTTCTTTACAAGAAAAGCTTTTAATTGGCGTTTTCTCGTGAATTCAACTGTTTTTGTACAGTGCCCTGAGATAACGTTTGCTGTGAAATGATATTATATAAACTGAACAGAAATTATGCCTTTGGTGTCAAATCTGAAGGAGGAGCAGAGTGAGGTGTTTTTATAGATCCTTCTTCACAGCTTTAGATCTCAAACCTGCTGAACTTGTGTCTGAGCAAGTTTAAAACAGTCTGAATAGAACAAATGGTACAAATCTTTACCTAATGCAAAAGACTCTACACAAAGTGGAAGCTGCCATTAGAGCATGAATGTCAGATTGTATGAGCATTGTTAATGTTGTGTCATTGTCATGTTCTGTTATCTGTTTTTAAAATAAATTGTGGTTCTTTATTTTCGTACAGTTGATTCTGTGTTTTGTCACTGCTGATTAACCTGTAGCAAGCTAAATACAGTATACGTTCATTTGTCTTCATGTTATGTAAATGTTACATCTTTGTTCAAGTTTACTTGATCACAAAGTTCTGCAACAAAAGTAAAATGAGTGAACTAGTGCTGTTAATATGCGCAGGATTGTGAATATTGAAACGACCAATTTATGGCAGCACGATGACTCAGTGGTTAGCACTGTTGCCTCACAGCAAGAAGGTCCTGGGTTCAATCCCCAGTTGGACCTGGGGTCTTTCTGTGTGGAGTTTGCATGTTCTTCTCGTGCTTGCGTGGGTTTTCTCCGGGCGCTCCGGTTTCCTCCCACAGACCAAAAACATGCATGTTAGACTGATTGGTAACTCTAAATTGTCCCTAGGTGTGAGTGAGAGAGTGAATGGTTGTTTGTCTCGCTTGTCTCTATGTGTCCCTGTGATGGACTTGTGACCCATCCAGGGTGTACCCCGCCCCTTGCACAGTGATTGCTGGACATGGGCACCGGCGACCCCCGTGACCCAAAATGGAATAAGCGGGTAAAGGATATGCTGGATATGGGCACCATTGACCACCCCCTGTGACCTGAAAAGGATGAAGCAGGTAAAGATGGATGGATGGATGGATGGATGGATGGATGGATGGATGGATGGATGGATGGATGGATGGATGGATGGATGGATGGATGGATGGATGGATCTCAGTTGGATTTGCCTGGTTAAATAAAGGTTAAGAAAAGAAAAGAAAAAAATAATAAAATTAAAACTCAAAGCAGCTGTTTTAAGTTTTAATGATGCCTTTCTTATTACAAAACAACTTGAAGTACTTAGTATTTTGTTGTCCAAGATTCATCACTGAAAGAAAATCCATCCCTTCATTCATTCATTATTTTTTTATCCACTTCATCCTTTTAGGGTCACAGGGGTCACTAGTGCCTATATCCAGCAGTCATTGTGCGAGAGGCTGGGGACGCACTGGACAGGTCTCCAGTCCATCACAGGGACACAATCAAACTCCACCCACAAAGGTCCTGGGCTGGGATTTGAACAGGCAACCTTCTTGCTGAGGGGCAACAGCTTTACCAACTGTGCCACTGTGCTGCCCAAAATAAATTCTACATGTTCCATACCTCTGCAGATCCACAGCTGACTGAAGCACAGAAAAATCCAACCAGTGGTCTGCTTCTGGATTTACATGTGAGTATTATTTTACAGCTGCAGCCAAATGTTAAGGAAACTGGAAGCTATTTTCGAGTGAAAATAACAAGCAAACAGTGCAATTAACTAATCAGTTAATTTTTTAATATGACATTTTCATATCTAACATTTAATGGGATTTGCAAGTTCCAGCTTTACCACCCAAACTTCTTTGCCATAAACAAATCTTTGGTGAGTTTTTACTTTGCTTTTTTACTCTCATTATGATTAAGCAGTTGTTATATTTCCTTTGTTGTTGAGTTTAAAATCATCTGTCTTGAAGAAGATTGTCGTAACGGGCTGATAAACCCAGTGGTGAAGGCAGGCAGTCGAGGACTCACTCAGGAGTATATTAAATAAAAAAAACATTTACAAAAACAAAAAGCTGCCAAGGTAGCAAAATTAACATGGAACAACAAGGCATTCACAAGGAGCAGACCAGGACATCACCAGTGGACAGATAACAATGCCAGGATGAGGAGTGAGACAAACACACAGGCTTAAATACAGGAAAAAACAAAATAAATCCACCTGTGAGTAATCACAGATGCCAAAGACAGAGAATGAAGACACAAGACATAAACATGACACACGGAGGAGCCAGACACTAAGGAAACACAAAGCACAAACCCTACAGTTATATTGTTTGGTTATTTTATAAAGTATTGTACAGTAGTCCCTAGTTCATCGCTGGGGGATTCGTACCCTGAAGCCCCACGATAATTGAAAAACCGCAAAGTAGGAATAGTAGTACAAGTAGTAAGTAGTAGTTTATTTTAGTATTTATATACATAGATATTAAGGCGTTTTAAACCCTTCCCACACTCTTGCAATATTCTAAACAATGTTTCTTAACTCTAAAAGCTCTAAAAGAGCGCAGAATGTCATGATTTCCCTCTCTCTACCTCCGCTGCTCTCAGCCACCTGCAAGCGCTCTTGGCCACACCCACTTCCCCACTCTGCTCGCTGAGTAGCTGTTCAGCTGCAGGAGAAAGTTGATCCTGCAGTAATGGCTGCACAGAGGTGCAGGAGGTGCTAAATATTTAAAAATAATTTATTTTAAATAAAAATCACATGCCGATCATGCAGCTCATCCATCAGTGAGCCAATTGTGTGTCATGTGTAGTGAACTAAGCCTCAGGTCAAATCCTGACCTTGAGGGCCTTCCTGGGACAAGAACTGTATTTCATTGATTTGAGTCCAGAAACACAAGATTAAGTTCATCCAGAGACTTTCTAAGTGTCCTGCACTGATCAATTGAAAGAACACTCTCTTTTTCTATTATCATTACTATCTTGCAAATGTCTTGATAATCAAAGTGTGTTTAGTTCAAACCATTTTTAAATGTTGAAGTGAACTACTCATTTTAAATCAACTGTGAAACAGTATTATTGATTTTTTTAATCCTCATTCAAAGTAGAAATCAAGTTAGAATGTGCTACGGAGTAATTCATGCATTTTCTGATTTTCTGTCTGAAATTAGCAAGTGTAAGTTGGTCCAAGGTTGGAGGCAAGAAAACAAGTTGTTGGAACGAACTGTCATGTTTTTATATCCTCTCAGACGTAAATAGAGAAGCTGGCACCTGTTTTCCCCCAACTCGCCTAAACATTTCTCTCGTCTGTCTCAAAAACATCTTCAGTTCGTTCCAAAACAATTTTTCTGTTTTTCTGACTTCTAGTGACCTCTTACGTCACAAAAACACACCCCTGATTAGCTATTTCAGCCAATCAGGACTTCCCAAATGAACCGGAAATAGAACTCTTTAAATGTCTGCACTTCCTAGTTCCCGCCAGTCGAGTGCGGTGGGAGAGCAGTTCAGTTCGGAGAGCAAAACCGAACAGAATAAGTGCTGGAGAGTACAGGAGGTTCAGACATGATCCGCAGTTCTTCCGAGTCTTGTGGGAATTATGAAATCATCCACATCTGAGTGGAGCCTCTGACGGACTTACTCCTCTTGTGAGTCCACCAGTGGGTTGAACCTGTGTCGGACGGAATACCGGCACTACTTCGGACGATTCACAGCTGTTCCTACGGAGACGCTGAAAGGGTGCGTTAAATGGAACTCCGTACCAGTGGAGACACCTTCTACAGGTAAAGAGTTGATTTACACTACCTAAGTGTACCGAGGAGGAAGCTGGGATCTTAACGGAGCGTGCCGTTCTGATACCGACACATAACAAACCCTCATCCATCTTCTCTCTCAATTTTAACTCCTTCATCCCCCATCTTTAAACTCTTCTATCTTGCCAGTAATCATTCAGATATTTTCAGAAATGTCTGTTGTGAAGCAGGAAAATCATGGCCGTATGGTTTTCCTGACTGTAAAGCTAATTAATTAAGCTGTTGTTGAAATCAATTTGTCAAATTAATGTAAATGTTTGATGTTAAACTTTGATTCTGTTAATAAATGACCGCATTCATTTGATGGGTCAAAGAAAATTGACGTCTCACGTTACGTTTAATTTCAATGCACGATATTATTCAGTCCAGAAAAATGAATGAATCCGTTTAATTTATGGATAATATATCACAGATATATGTTCATCTACACATGTCCAGTCTTATAGAGCAATAGAGCGAATTTGCAATAAACGAACAGCAAAGTAGCGAAGGACTACTGTATTAAAAAAAAATCACCTGATGCAGTTAGTCAGAATCACTAACTTAAACTAATTAAAAAGAAGCTTTGAAACTAAAGAAGCAGAAATGAAGTAAATTAAACAAACATGTCTTTTTAAGCTATGTTCTATCTTTTTATGGAAATGTTGCTTATGAAACAAGACATTCAGAGCATAGAAAAATAATCATGTAGATCCAGCTAGTTACATTATCCAAGATGGATGATGTAACTAAACTATTGTATAAAATGAGAATCCCCAAAAAATTGATTACAATATGTACACTTATTTTTTTCTTTGTATCATTTCTAAAAACTTCTCCCTTTAAGTCTGATTAAACTGTACTGTAAATCATCAGTTTAAGATAAATCTTTCTGCCACCTTTGTCTCTCTGCAAAGAACCTTTTATTAGAGATGTGCAAAAACATTTCCTGTTTCTTATTTCTTCATGTAAAGTCTTTGTGTTTGTTGCTTGTGTTGAGCTGAAATGTGCCTGGACTTGCTTGCGTCAGCCGTTCTGTGATAGAAAGCTTAAATTGATTGCAAATGCATCATCCAGACACACACACACGCACGCGCACACAGACACACTGTCTTCTCGCCACAGCCTGATGATACCCTGTCCTTTTCTCCAGCCTCTCCCTTTCATCCCTGCTGCTTCGTCTCTGACCTTCCACTGCCACCATGCAAGCTTTTGTTCCCAGGTAAGTTTTACAAAACCCAGTCATGCTGCTTTATTTGCTCTCATCACTGTTTCTGGTTGTATGTGTTTAAAAGAACAAATATCATCTCACTAAGGCTTCAGGCCACACTTTATGCTTTACTATTGTTAGGGTTGCAAAGCTTCTAGAGTTGACCTAAATTTGTGTATTTCTCCTATTAAATGTACATTAATAATTGCTGGCCTCAGGGTGCTTTTCTTGGCAATTACTTTAACTAATTCATAAATGATTGTAATATGTAGTCCAAACAGAATACACATTTATAACACTGGAGACGTGTTAATGAAGCTCTTTAAAAGCTTTAAATTGTTTATTTTCTGTTTCATTGCTTATCATGTACAGCTGTGGAGTCAAATATTCTGTTATACAGTATAATAGTGTGCTGCAGAGTGGACAGCTGAGTCTCTGTCAGAGTGACGCCACAAATGAAAGATCAATAACAGTAAAAGTGTAGCAGAGGAGGAGCTAACAGCTGTGTGGGTAAAACACGAGCCTCTGCTGGTGCTGGTTCAGCTCTTTATTTGTCTGAAGCCTCTGATGCATTTTGTGTTTTGCATCTCTTCACAGCATCGTATCACTTTATATGTGACCTCACAAAGTTGGAAAGCTACTCAAAGTACAATAATTTTAGTTTTTCAACTTAGATGACGTCTGATGTTGTGGTATGAGTGGAAATTAAAATGATCAAAAGTGTGCGTGGAAGACAATTCTGCAAGAATGTGTTTGAATATTGAAGCATCCGTCCATTATCTTTACTCGCTTCCTCCTTTTTGAGTGGAGGGGCTCACTGGTGCCCATCTCCAGCTATCAATGTGCGAGAGGCGGGGGCACCCTGGACAGGTCTCCAGTCCATCACAGGGACACATAGAAATAAACGAGACAAACAACCATTCACTCTCTCATTCACACCTAGGAACAATTTAGAGTTACCAATCAGCCTAACATGCATGTTTTTGGTCTGTGGGAGGAAACTGGAGTACCCGGAGAAAACCCACACATGCGCGGAGAGAAAATGAAAACTCCACCCTGAAAGTCCCTCGAACCAGGATTTGAACCAGGGTAACTTGCTGGCAGAGGGGCAGCAGCTCTACCAACTGATCCACCGTGCTGCCTGATATTGAAGCACTTAACATTAGTCTGTGTCATGTTTTTACATCAGAAATTGTTTTCTTCTTTTTGTTTAATGTAACTTTCAGTTTGAAATACAACGATTTCTCTGAAATATTACTTTAATTGTAAAGGCTGCTGTATGTTTTTCATGTAGGAATGCACATATCCTGCTTTTGTATCTCCCGGAAACACTGAATTTCTTTGTAAACAAGTTTCAGTTTTATATTTTAAGTGCAGATTGATACATCTTTACACACATCTACCTATTTATTTTTTTTTTTTTTTTTTTTCAGTTTTTATCTGACACCAATTAAAGATGAGGAAGCAGAATCTCAGAGGAAAGCGAAGTCCCGTCATGCCAGACAAACTCGCCGGTCAACACAGGTACAAAGCAGACGGCTGACAGGCTCAGGCTTTAATTGACCGTGTTTTACCGTTGACAGACATGAAGCTGTGTGGAAATCCTGCAGGGTGTGACTCTTGCAGACCTGAAAGAGGCTCAGAGGACCTGCAGCATGTCTCATCAAGACAGAGAGGAGGAAGGAGGTGCTGTCGGAGACAGGACCTGTGTGAGGAGAGGCCTTACAGATGACAGCAGAGAACAGGACGGCCTTACAGAGCCCACAAAAACAACCAAGCTCGTTCTGAAAAGGAACAAAAAGGACGAGGTTACAGAGAGAAATTTATTCAGGGCTCACATTTGGGTTTTGTGTAGCAGAACCAACTGATTTAGTACATTTTGATGATTGTGATTTATGTATATATTCAGAGTTATTCTCATTTGTCTGTGCAGGAGGGGAACATCGAGAGCACGTTAGAAGCTCTTTCTGGATCTCCTGACCTGTCTTATTTAACCATATCTGGATCCTGTGATTTCCTTAATAAAAACTTCTTCAAAGGTAAAACTTTCCCGTTTAAATCTGTTTATATTCACTCTGCTTTCATATTGTTTGCAGTCTCAATAACAAAACAGTAAGATATAATCTTCTCGTTTTAGCAACAATTAAGAAATACAAAATAATTCAACATTTTCTAGGCAAAACTTCAAATGATTAAAATGTGTTCATTTTTTGTTCCAACGTTAGATAGTTTTTATCCATCCATCCATCCATCCATCCATCCATCCATCCATCCATCCATCCATCCATTCATCCATCCATCCATCCATCCATCCATCCATCCATCCATCCATCAGCTTTCTCTTGTTCCGAAATCGGGTTACAGGAGCAGCAACTTGAGCAGGGACATCTCTTTCCACAACCACCTCTTCCAGATAGTTTTTATTTTATTGAAAAGTTGACACTGTGCTAGACCTGTCACAATAACAAATTTTGCTGGGCGATTAATTGTGTCAGAAATATTGCGATAAATGATAATATTGTTTGAAATTTGACAATAATGAGTAATTATTGTCAAATATAAGAAGAAATGTTTAATTTATTTTGTGTACCTTTTTTGACCACTGAATGACAGTATAAGACTGTTTGAATCGAAGGATGGATAGTGAGGGAGCAAGCAGCGTGACTCATTAAGAAAAATGGGAGGGAGGCCCCTTGACGTGACATGGGCTGTCTCTCATTCCTTTTTTCCGGTACTCAAAATGGCGGACGCTCTGTGTGGTTTGAGTTTTTTAGCATAGCATTTTTCACACAAAGTTTTTAATAAAAAAATCAGTAACCAAGTTCTCAGCTTTTTTTTTGCAGAGAAAACCAACTTTTTAGACAAAGGCACGGGTTTCAACCATGAATTTTTGAGCTTCAACATGACAGAGTTTTTTTTTTTTTTCCTGAGGTCAGCCTGTTAGCTTAGCTCTTAGCTTAGTTTCTCAGATTAGCTGCTTTTAATGATCCAAAAACGTGATTTTGGACGGTTAAAACAGATTTTAAATAGAAAATAGAAAGAGAGGGGTCAGTGAAGAGCACCGGAGTTGAGCCTTTTGTGTCTTCAGTAGAAAGAGAGAGACAATAAGAAACAATAAAGCCAATAAATGAAAATGAGGTTGATAATTTTCATTTATCATGAGATCAATTGATTTATTGTTTATCTTGCCAGGCCTAAACTGTGCTGATAAAATTTTTGTCCTTGTATTTATCAGATAAAATATGGACTCCAGTTAGACTGTACTTTAATTTGAATGTCCAAACCATGATGAAAAGCACATTAAGGATTTACAGCTCACTGTCAAACTAAAACTTATTTTCCAAGAGCTCAAAAATAAAACTGGCAAACAAGCATATCCATACAAGCAGTTTTACATCTGCAAATAATTAACGCAAGGTTCAAAATGGCCACCACAGCTTCTCAACCTTAGTAGACACAGAGCGGCTAAAGCTCAATCAGTTTTACATATTAAAATAATGGTAATAATAATAAAAAAAACCTGGTTTGTTTTCTTTCTGCATCACAACAGATCACATGAGATCTTTGATTAAAACTGGCAGAGTGAAACTTTCCTTCAAGCAGTGCTACATTTAATTAGTCTTCCACAGGTTAAATGCAGTTTTGTTAAGAACTTCTGGATCACTTTCACAGAATGTTTTAAGTTTAAGAATATTTGTACACCCTCAGGTAAACATGTCAAATGGTAAATGGACTGTACTCATAAAGCGCCTTTCTATCTAATCAAGATACTCAAAGTAATTTACAACAAAAATTACCTCCACACATACAATACATTCATACAGCTCTCTACTACATCTCTACAAAACTAATCTGAATCTGTAGAGACTAATCAGAGCTTTATCACATTCGTACACTGATGGGACACACATCGAAGGCAATGAGGGGTTCAGAGTCTTGCTCAGGGGCACTCAGCGTGTGACTGCTGGTGGAATCGAACCCCCAACTCTCCCATAGGAGGACGACTGCTTTAACCACTCAGCCACAGTCGCTCCAAACCACATCATTAATTAAAAACCCTTGCTTGAAGGAATACTGATTGCCTGCTACCTTTCAAAGTTTTAAACTAAAGGTTCTCATGATCTGTTAGAGCTCTGATTATTTATTGTGAGGGACTCCCAGCTACTACCACACCAGCTCAAGATCTGTGAAATTGACGTCATTACAGCCATTTTTGAGTTTCCCAGGATTATTTAGCTGAAGTGGTCATCTTTAAACATATTACCTACAAGTTTTGTCAGTAATAAATGTACATCTCATGATTACTTTCTGAATATTTCACTAAAATTGGTTCAGTATGAGACATTTTAACATATCAGTCAAACAAACATGTATAATTCTTCAAAGTAGACTCTGATAATGACATGACCTCAGATGCCATGACTTTGCAGCACTCTTACATATCCAAGATTGTTTTTGTTTTTTTTAATTTCTGAAATGCAATCATCCTTTTCAAACCAACAATAGGTAAAACACAAAAAATAAATGCATAAAATGTTCTTGTGTCTTTTGAATGGTTTTGCATTTATTTGTTTAATTGGGCTTTATTTTTAAAGCACAACGTGCTAAAATGGCAGGTTTGTAATTCTTTGACAAGAATAGAAAAACCTACAAGCTAAAAGAAACCTTAAGATCACAATTTTTTAAAAGCTGTATCATCCATCCATCCATCCATTCATTAACTTTTACCCGCTTCTTCCATTTTGGGTCACGGGGGGTTACTGGTGCCCATGTCCAGCAATCACAGTGCGAGGGGCGGGGCACACCCAGGACAGGTCTCCAGTCCATCACAGGGACACATAGAGACAAACGAGACAAACAACCATTCACGCTCTCACTCACACCTAGGGACAATTTAGAATTAAAAGCTGTATCGTGATTTGTAAAAAAATATAATTATCAAATAGTGTTTTGGTGTCCAAATATCTTATTAGATGTTAATTTTAGTACAGATTTTGTCATCTTTATGGTTTGTCCAAGTAAGACAAACATCAGAAGTTTTTTTTTTTACTTTGTATTTTACTTTGTAAAATATATATTATTCCTACAATAATTTATTTCTCTTTGTTTTTCACTACTGAAAAGCAGAATATTGGAGTTAAGTTTATTCATCCAAATATTATGATGAAAGTAAATTTAATCTTGTCCTGTGCAGTTGGGGAGAAGTGGTGGAGAGATGAAAATCAAAACCTGGTTGAAGATGCAGCTTCTACCATAACCGATCTAAAGCACCTCTGCTGTGAGGCTGCAGACACAGAGGTATGTAAAACGTTCTTGTTAGCAGTGTTGTAATGTAACAAAGTAGAAATACTTGGTTACTGTACAAGTAGAATTTTGACGTATCTTTACTTTACTTCGGTATGTACATTTCTAGCAACTTTCACTTTTACTTCACTACATTTCCTCAATAAAATGTGTACTTTTACTTTAATACATTAAACTTAACCATTTTAGTTACTCGTTCCTACAATATGAAATTAGAAGAAATCTGGTTGGGCAATGCCTTTTTGTTCTCCCAGTCTGTGACTTCACGCGGCCCTTTTAGGTTTTGTGTTCTCCAGGACATTAACTGGTTAGATCAGCAAGGTGAAGTTGTGGGACCACTAGTCCTCCCATTAAAGAACACATAGACAGATAACCAGTTTAGGGTGATTTATTTGCTGTGTTACTTCTCGTATTTACACACGGCAGTAAACCAGTATAGCACAAGCAAGCTTGAACAACAAGGCTCCATCCATGTTGGGAGAGAAAAAAAGAACCTCTGAGTTCTGCACTTTACACAGAACGATGCGTTCACCAGCGTTGGAACAGCCACGGTGCATTCAATAGCATAGGAACTATTATATTCAGAAAGAAACAAGCCATAGCCAAACAGAACTTATCTCAGTAAACAAGCCAACTACACAACAATGTGGGCTTTCTAACAGCTTTGTTAATAAAGGGTAATAAAAGTGGAATGATTTTACTTCATTAGAATCAGACTTTTTAAAGAGCAATATTTCATTGTTCAATTCAAACTTTCAAAGTTTTTGTCACTGGATATTACACCCAATAAATGTTGTTTTGGAAATTCTAACTGTTCACTTTTACTTAATACTCTCATTTTAAGTACATTTTAGAAGAGAATTTTACTTTTGATACTTAAGTACATTAAATGTCAGATACTTTAAGAGTTTTACTCAAGTAATGATTTTAAAGGAGACTAACTTTTACCGAAGTAATTTTATGGTAATTAAGATACTTGTACTTTCACTTAAGTATCACTTTGACGTACACAACACTGCTTGTTAGCATTGAGTCCATCTGGAGATAAAATAGTTTTCAGCCCTGTTGCATCACTAGATGGAGCTAAAAGACTTACTTTGTTGTTTCAGAGCTGAGTTTACCCCAGAGGCATTGCAGCACGGCAAAGAAGTGGTTAGAGCTGTTGCCTCACAGCGAGAAGGTCACAGGATCAACTCCTGGCCTTTCTGTGTAGAATTTACACGTGCTCTTAAAACACACGAGGGTTGTGTCCAGCTACTTCAGCTGTCACTCACAGTGACAGCTGGAAATAGGCAGCAACTTCCTGTGACCCAGAAAGAAAAAGCAAATAAAAAATGGTCATCCAAAACTACAAAAAATGTGTTTGTTTTGTTTATTTGTTTAGTAACAAACATGTACAGTTCATTGATAATGTTCATAAATATATTCAAATGAAAATCAAATACTAAATTGATGCTGTTGTTCTGAAAAAGTCACAATTATTAGCAAAACTATTTCTTGCTCAAATTCTGTTTTGTTTTTTGTTTCCCTCACCTAAGAGTTAGAATTCTTCACATGCAGCTTCGCTCTGCTCTCTGATGCAACATGTTGGGAATCACAGTTATCGATGTGAACAATGTGTTCAGGGATCTTTTTGTCCAGACTCGTTATCTCACAGACAGACGGATCAGGAGGACCAAACTCCCACTGCCTCTGAGTCACTTTGCTTCTTTGCCTCACATGGTCAAGGTGTCTC